ATTCTCGTAAATCTTCTTCAACCCATTGTCAATTCACACAACGTTTTACTCTTCTTTTTTGAAAATCTCGATTCTGTATTATATTACAACTTTCCGATTGCATATGTGAATATTACTATTTCCAGTTCCTTTCTTATTCCTATGTCATCCTGGTTGTTCTCCTTGTCATAGTGTTAATACAAAGAAAGTCTATACATTGTTATCTGAGATGATGGTGATATGTTCTTTGAACTGTTTAGTTTAATTAGTGAGAAGAATTAAGCTCTAAATATGTCCGGAATAAAAAGTAATGAAAGTTTTAGCTCAGAGAACACATAAAATCGTTGTCTTTGACTGATTGTACTGCATTTTTTAAAAGCTACCTCTCTATCATTATCTTATGCTTGTTTTTATTACAAAACATTTATTGCTAGTTCTTTTTTCAATGCTAGAGATAATCTGTACCATCCATCCAACTTATCCAAGCTACCATGTTTGATTCTATTTACACTTCACACTATTATCGTACATACAAATTCAACTCCATGCTGCCCACACATATTTCATTCATTAACATAAACACATACAACTACACAAACATGTCTCATATAAATCACTTCGATCGAAATCAGATAACATTGATTTGGTCAGACTTCTTTTTTGATTAATTGCACACAATAGTCTTAATTTGTTCCTTTATATTAATTAAACTCGAGTTGATTTAATGTGGTTGTTTATTCTCTGAAGAAGCGACTTACACTGAGTCACAAAACGCCAAAAAAACTCCATTTTTCTACACATTAGGATAATACAAATCTATGATTCTTAATAATAAGAGTAAGATGATATATATAATTGACATTGATCACTTTATAACAGCAGAAGACAGAAAAGTATGATTGGAGATTTATTGAAAAAGCTGAACTGAATTATTTGAAAGTTTAATAAATGTCGATTGAATATACAGATGTGATTAGTTTACAAGTAAATGATAAATGTCACTTAGTAAGAAAGACAGCAACATAAAAAGAAAACATTTAAGGTGGATCAGTTTATATGTATAACTTTCTATGTCAATAGCGAATTATAGTTACGGACATCTGTTTCGTCCTATTGTGGGACCCCTTAGTAGTGCGCATCCACGATCCCGCCTCGTAGTACTGGAACTTAGGAACTATCACTCTCGCGCCAGTCGCTTAACCAACTAGACCAACGAGCCGGCATCCGACGGTGTTAATGTCTAACTTCAACCAATCCACGAAATTGAGCGAGACATCCACCATTGTCTTCAATGAGTTACTATCGCACAACAGACCCGGTTGAACTACACTGGTCACTGCTTCTCACTAGAACTCCAGTTACTAGTGATCATATGTTGATTATTATCAGAAGGAGGTTTTTCTGGATTTTATAGTAATTCATTTTTACATTTTAAAAAGACATTGGAAGTTTTATTGTCAAAAGTCCAATCTTCTCTTTCATGAATGTTCAGTCAATGCCGGTTAAACTTTTCTGGATCGTATACAATTGATTTGTGTTTAGATCAATAAAAGTATACAGTAAGCACTCCGTTGTATAGTCGGTTTTTCATATCCAGCTTATCTAAATTCCTTTCAACTACAGTCGTCATCATTATAAATATTAACTTGAAATGCTAGTACTCTAAATTCGATAATAGAAGAGGTGTTGAACAAGTGATAGTCTTAAACTATGACGTAATTCCAATGTAAAATTGGTTTGTTAAGAAGAAGAAGAAGAAGAAGAATGAACAAACGTTCTCAAATTACTCTAAACATAACAGTTGTATATTGTGAGGAAGTTGAAAGTAGTTAGCATAAAACACTGAAGAAGTCAATGAGAAGATTTGTTCAACTTGATTCATGTCAGTTATCATTAAATGGCAACATATGACATATACACTCTTGAGGTAACCCAAGTTTCCCATACGATTTTAATCCACGTCACTCAATATCACAGTCAGAAATATTACAATTCAGTTATCCAACATGTAACTGATCTCCACATTCATGTTAAGAACAAACTTTAAAATGTTCTATGGACACATTTACGCTAAATAATTAAGCAGAACAAAAAGGTTATATCGATACTTTAGGCATGATCAAAACAAGATTCTGATTATGAAACTAATTGAAAATGTAGTGGAATGCATTCGATAAACAACACAGTACACTCTCTATCCTCTTTCTTAACTTTCGTCGATAATGAATGAAGTTATAACAACTGTGATGAAATTTCAGCTAGTTACTAGTTAATCAGTAAGCAGCTTTTGGAAATGGATAGGTTATGGTAAAGAAAACAATAGCACGAGAAAGTGGAGACAAATTACTAGTTACTCTATAATTTGAAAAGTCAAAGTCATATACATCCATCTTTGTAGATATAAAGTATCTATCTTTCGAAATACTACAAATGACTCAAAAACCTCTACATTATTTATGATTAGGGTAAGATATTTATGGTTAGGACTGGATCATTACTACTCCTCACGAATGGCGTTATATATGTCGTCCACTGAATAATCTTATTTTCAAAAATAACCCAGGCGAGTTCAATCATTTTACTGGATGATTGTACTTAACATGTATATCCCTTCCTGTTGCTTTTGTAACATATTTGTAAGTGAATCTAGGCTAAATGCAGTAACTTCTTATGGAATGTTTACTTTGCGTCATATTCCTGCCTAAAGTTTCATAAGCAGTCTTAACTTCAAAATTATTTTCTGGTCATGTTCATTATTTTTAAATTGTCATATACGTCAACAACCTGCCTGCTTGTTAACCTGGCCCGCACATACGTTGCACTATATCTTCATGTCTTCTAAATTTAGAAATCATCTGAATCGCCTTTAACGTGTATAAATAAACCCATCATAGTCGTTGTTGCTAATTGTGTTTTGGTTTGTGGATTGGTTGATCATATTAGCAGCCTAAAATGCGAACATAGTTTAGATAATAAGATTAGAAATTTAGAGACTATCAACTACACTAGTCAAATAACTAAATTCTCAGGTAGTTTTTGGCTAAATAGATGTTTAACATCAAAACTCTGGAGCCTACTAAAATTAACGCTTGACGAATACTTTCGAATTAAAATTTATAATATAGTAAGGCAGCTCTGATTCTTTAACGCTACAAATTTCTGATAATTTCGAATCACCTAAAGCAACAATACCTATTTTTCCACTGGCTAATCCTCAATCAACACTATAACTAGTTAAACATAATAGTTTCAGGATATCGTCATAAAGCATTGTCATAACTTGACAATCACGTAATATGATTGATAAAATTAAGGAAACTACTAGTAAAATCGGTCAGCAAATTGACTTATAATTATCACTAGTGTTGTTTTTCTTTTATCTTCATTCACTACAGATGATTACAGTATGTTTCTCTACCAGTTGCTCATTCAGTAAATATCTCAAAACCTTGTCAGTCCAATTGATGGTTTAGCGACACAATAATGCATGCAAATAATCAGTATAAGCAGTCGAGCAAATCTCCTGCAAACTGAAAACATCAATGTCGAATTTACCCCAACACTGACATGAGTTGGGAGTGTACTCCCCTTGGTTACAACTTATGTTCTCCCTGATAATCACATGAGCATCAATCACTATTAATCACCTTGTAAAAACTTATTTAGCCGAATACATCCTGCAGCACCACATCACTTAGTAATATGACACATAGGCTTAGCTGATTTCAATAACTTATAATCACTATATCTCAATTAAATCGTGTTCCGCCTTATGATAAACGGCATACTTGCAACTAACTTGTATGCACCATCAGCCGGTAGGCATGAATATAAATAAATAGTCTATCACACATCAGAACATTGAGTCTAGAGTATGTCTCTTACGAATACACTCATGTTTAACGATTTGTTCTTAGCTACCTGTCCAAAATTCATATAATTATCACTCATGTATTGAAATTTTGTTTTAATAACCATTCATGTGTATTAGTAGTATTACTAAATTCTATCATGGTCAAGTAAAAATGAGGTTGAGAAAATCTCTCCGTAACTAAATAAACCGTATCAAACTAACTGGAACACTAGTTGGAATTCTTTTCCACGTTATTTAACTCGGGGAAATACCTAACAATGGAGTAGGCGCGAACAATGAGTTGAGTGAATTAGAGTTGATCAAACGGCATGGCTCGGCCGTCCAGGCGTGGTCCCTGCTGAATGTTATCTTATTTCTTCTATTCATATTAAATATATTGTTCTTTCTCTAGCCTAACCTTGCTCTACATCATGTGTTGGTAATTGGTACGATACAGTGAGTTGGCGTAGTCGATGTTGTGACTTCCACGTAAGATCTTATAGATTAGGCAGTTATATCATGACAAATCTACAAAGTTAGGATTAGATCTATTATTAGAGCAGTACTAATATCATAGTAGACCATAATTCTACAGTCACGAATTTGCATCAGATATAATACAAAACATTCCCTCGACAGAAATATGGATGACAGGATTCCACTCATCCAAGAAGCCATTAGTTATAGTGCCAATAAGTGAATGTTTGTTTCAGCATTAAACGTTTAAGATTAGAATGTAAGGACAGTGTTGGTTACCTCCTTATTTACCATTTACAAAGGAAAAACTAATTATAGAATACATTTAACACTGTGGCAAAAATTGATATTTGGTTATGAGTTTAAACGAATACAAAACTATGTCTCATATTAGTGATACGTGATAAATGAATTTTGCACAAAAATCCACAAGTCATGTTCTCAATTTTGATTGACTTTTCCCCATACCATATTTATAGTTTGAGCTATGTTGATGAGCTTAGACTGCCTGATTGAGATAAGAGTGACTAACGTGAGCAATGGTTGGAGACATTGTTAACATGGCTCAGAATCAGTGAGCTGAACCGTTACACGCTTGTGCCAAGTTCTACGTTGCTTGTGATAATCTTTCGCAACAAACATGATTTGAATGAATAAAACGAATGAAAGTTGAAAACCAAATATAACTCACTCATAGTTGTGGTTGATTTAGTCAAACCTATATCTTTTATCCGTAATATAAACGTAGCCAAATTGCCTTTGTTCAGTAGACGATCATGATTATTTTCACCGTAGCTGCTAAATGAATCATCACCATCCTTAATTGAATATTTGGTTGCTGCAATTTTCGGCGCCGGTAAATAGAACTGATGCGGTAAATGATTTGATTTGGGATTACACATTGCCTCAGCTAAGCAACTTCTTCATTTTGAATCACCTTTTACTATTTCATTATAATCTAAGCTGATTAAATAACTACCAATCTGTTCAGGATTCACATGATTTCCATTAGATATTCGTGTTACAAGAGCTATTTAGAAAAAGATACAACATTTGTAAAATGGGAATATAATGATAATAATAAAACCAATAGTCCGACAGTCAATCAGGAACAGTCAATTTAAAGCCTGGCACATACGCTCGTTCGCCCTAGTTACCATATCACATTGACGAATAACAAAGGAGTGGAAATAACTGCAGTAGTAATGATAATGAAAAGACTAAACACTAAAACCATGGTACGAAAAGACATAATGAATGGCCAATGTACGACGGAATAATGAAACTCCAGATCTAGAGGAGGACAGTGTGAATGTCTATGTGCCATCGTGGTCGGTTATTAGCCACGTCAAACGACGTCACTAACCGCGGACATCAACCAGGTAATCTGCACCAACACATATGGCTCAGGCCAACAGCCAATAACTTGGTGGACTGATACCACATTTTAGCTTGGGTACCCTAACTTTCTTGCAAGTTATTCCTAAACGAGCTTTCACTTTCCACCAAGATGGATGAACGTTAGGCACACGTAACAAATGTCTCGACCGCCCCGATTGATGAAAAAATGTCTGAAGATATTAAATAGTAATAGTGCGAAAACGTAAACTCATAGAAATAAAACTCGTAGTTCAAGTAATAAATTAGTTCCGAGCTCAAACATCTCAATAGTAACATTTCAAACTATTATAATCAATAACTCAGATTTCAATCTATCAGAAAGTATCAGTTCTATCAAAATTGCAAGTATGTTCTGATAACGAGTACTAACCAGAGAACAAACTCGTTCAAGAACACTTCTTTTTTGATGACTAATTTCAAATACTTTGTATGAAGAATCCATGGTAAACTTATAATGTTAATATCAGTAGGGGTTTTGTGGATATTATAATAATTTCAATGGCTGAGATCATGAGTTAATTGAAGCTAAACCACCATGGAAAACGTGGAAGCACTAGACGGCTGTTTCGTCTTATTGTGGAACTCCTCAGCAGTGCCCATCCATGATAAATGTTTGTGAATTTAACCATTTAAATACACTTATTTTACAGTTATGAAGGGATACAATAAGCAAAATTACAAACTATTTATCTCTCTTAGCAACTAAACAAATGAAAATTTAAGGTATCCCAATAAATATATGTACTATAAAATGTAAGCAAATCATCAATGTTCAACATCACATATCCCAAATATTCAGATTTTCATTTATAAACACTGCTTAGTTGTAGAAATCAAAAGACAGATGCATATAAATATAAGTAGTTAGGAATAACTGATTGTAGCTAAGCCATGTTGAATCCATGTGAATCAGTACAAACCAAGGTTGATTCAAATAATCAAGTCAAATTTTCTCTTTATCCTCTCCATTTACTTCATTTTTATTCTATAGGAGATGACAGTGCTTGATTGAAGAGAGCTAGTGTAATCAAGTATAAGTACAACATCAGATAATGAAATGAATCTCGGTTTAAAAAAAGCGCATACAGAACTGAGATCTAGTATACTTGCTAGTAATAATTACATAAACATTGATGCTCAGAGGCTGGTTACAACCCACAGTTTTGCAAATGCAATTACAACACTTTCAAATTGCTAGTGTGCAAAGACGGTTGTTTTCAAATTGTCATTCACAGACTGTATTGGATGAGATTCGAAATTCTGAAAGCTTCATTTAATCATTTTAAAAGTCTTTATAAGTAAACAACTTAATTGTTATCCATGGGATAGATGAATTATGGCTAGCAGTAAAATATCAGCAAAGACAGACCGAATTTCAGAACAACGATATTAACAATGTGATAGCAAAACATCTTTTAATTATAACAACGACAGTCACTGGTCTTGCTGATTAACATTATGTCAGTTCCATGACCCAGAGGATTGCTTCTATCTTTCGTCTAGGTATGTGCATAACGTATGATTGCAGTTTCAGATTTTAACGACGGACAACTTCTGAAAACGAAGTTTTCAGTAACGTTTTAGCACACAAACAAATATCATCAGGAGCTATTTAGGTGTATAAAACACAAACATTTATCTATTTGTTCCAATCTAAACGAATCCATACAAACGTTAAGTACACAAAAATAAATTTCTCTAAAAACTAGCGAATCAAGTTGTCAAAGTTTGATTTACACAGGTTTTTACGCTGTTCGACATTAAACTTAACCACGTTTCAAAGAGGAAATATTCAGTGAGTAAACACTGCTGATAAGCAAGTGTCCGGCGCTTTAACCGGGTTGGTGGATACAGATCAACCTATAGAAGTTGAAAAATCCTGATTCCAAATCGGTGGTGCACATGGGCTCTAGGAATCCGAGGGAACAAAGGGCGTATGAACCTATTGTTCGCAATCGACTATCATGTGACTGCATCTCATAACGTTGATCCACTGTCTTGTTGGTTAGACCCGTAGGTCAGCGCCTCGAGGAGTGGCACGCTTAGAAAACCACCTGTTTCGGTTTGGGTGCCCGATCGCTATTCTAGCCCTCACACATATGTACTTGTTGCCTTCTTGTACCAGTGTTCACGTGTCTAAAACAAATAAAAATCATGTCACTTTTCATCGGACTTCATTAATGGACCAAACCACTTCATAGATACAAATATTCTGAGTTATACCCTGGAAACTTGATGAAACGATACCATTGAGACAATTAATTATCATTGATTATTGTTGTTAGTTTTAGTAATTCATAACTATTGGTGGCTACCACACAGGTTCTGGACTTGTTTACATTTCAACTGGATGAAAGAAAAACTTTGTATCTGGCACTCAGTTCAAGAAATTGAGTTTTAACGGCGAATTAAAACGTTCCTTCTAGTGACTATTTTATTAATAAACATGGTGTGATGGTATAATAAAGAAAACTTGCCAAAGACATCGCTGTAAACATTATCAAAGGAATCGCAATACATACAGAACAGAATAATTTACAAAAACCACTCGATTGTGAACGAAATAATCTGTTCATACAGAGATGATTATAATCACATGCTACGAAGTGTTACTAGGTAACAAGTTGAAAATAATAGGCATAGGTACAAAAACTCAAACAACTTCTTCAAATATCTCACAGTAACTGAAGAAAGTAAAAAGACCGGGAAAAGATTAATGTGTGAGACTAAAATTTATGGAAGACCAGGAAGCATACTCCATATCTTCACAGTAGCTTCCAAACGTGCCTTTTGAATTTGTGCCACTACATTAACATCATACATAAATATTGAAGCTGCAGTGGACAAACAGACGACTTAAAGGTAGTTCTCCACTATATCAAAGGTAGTGCCTCTATCCTCAATTCGTCTGCTCAAAATATTCTGTCTGGAAGATATCTTCAAAACGAGTTATTCAACGCATCTATCTGCAGTGGTTAGTTAATAAAGTTTCAGATATTTCGTTATGTTGCAAGGTGTGAACCAATCACAAAATTCATAAAATAAGGAGTCTCTTGAAAGTTAAAATTTGATGTTCATTCTGGAAAATTTTCAATTCCATTTCCAACTAAGTGTTCGACTGAAAATTGTAGTTATATTCACCAAGGTATAAGCAGTTGCAGCGGTAAATAAATCTCTAAGATCAATAGCTCTGTAGGTTTTCGATATTTGATTCGGACCACATTAGGTTTAATGGACTCACCTAGCTGATGTCGCTCGGTCACGCATACGCACCAGATAACAAATAAGATCGCCATTAGCAACTTCTCCTGCGACAGCTAGCCATTTTAGATCAGTCACTTTTCGATTTATTGATAACCTATCGAATACATCTTCACAACTCCGAGCTTCTGACTTTTGATTTCACTGAATGTGGACGATTCAATTAGAGAGGGTGACACTGGTTTAAGTGTTGTCAATCTACAAATGTTTGTCGCATCTTCATAGGCTTGCTTTATGTGACATATGATTATTGAGGGTAAATTGATATGACTATGGTTTAGTTTTACAATTAGATACATAATTCTACCCTGCTGATATAATCCTTCTTGTTCCTTTTCTGAGAACCAGTGGCGGGAATGGTTCATCTCAGCATTTGCTAATTCCGTTGATATATTAACTGCCACTCGTTAGTGATAGGAATTATTTAACATTCGAACATCCCACATACTTGGCTGAACCACATCAAGATCGAACCCGAAAACGAAATTTCGAACTCAATTTATACACAAAAATGTGGTACTACTAGGTAGGTTAACTACAAACTTGAATCGAGCACCAGCACTAACAGCTTAAGTAGAGGAGAGTACCAAAAGTTACTCGATACCACAAACCAAAAGCTAATGAGTTTATTCTGTCATCACTCATCTTACGATTAAATACGTGGACGTAGTAAGTCAGTGTTACTATGGTTTCCTTTAGTGTTATCTGTTCGCACTTGATTGATCTTTAGCCACCAATACGAGTAGCGACATAAATTTGCGAAAAGAAAAAATCTCAGGTTTACAAATCCCACTCACCTGAATGGCGATAACCCAAGGACTCTCGAAGTCAAATGAGTACAAAATGCTTCTATAATAGCTGTGACAAACTGCGCGTGAAAACTATAGAGAAAATACGGAATGACCACCATTAAAAGAATGTCTGCCCACATAAATCGACTAAAAACTATGATTGAGATAAATCAGAAGGACAATCCCACCATATCTAAAGGACACATAAGGAATTACAGCAAGTTTACTGGTCATTGAACCCTAACCACACAATTCTCAAACACGAAAAAACCGGGAAGATAGATACTAATACATTTAACGTGGAGAAAAATCCAACGATCAAGAAGGCGGGGAGAATAAATCCAAGTAATTCGAATTCAGGGACGGTCAAGGAGTCAAGGAATGGGTATCCGCAAGCAGGTTACGCGTTGTCGAGGATTCGGGATGTCGTTATTTACCAGCTACTAACT